GAGTACTTCCATCTGGGAAGGGTGACTGAGTTCAAATATGGCGCCAAACTGGGAACTGTCTTCAGAAAATGGAACGGCGAGAAGCTGTCTTACACCAAGTACGTGTACATCTGTCGGTGTGCCTGAATTATGATGTTTAGAATATTTATTTAAACATGAGATCAATCTCATTTTCTGCATGAATTGCTGGATTGGATATATAGTTTTTTTAAGTGTTAATTGTGACAAAATGAATTGATTAGAACTGGTAGAACATTTTGTCCAAACTCGGATGTTTTAGAGGTGATCTCCTCATTAGTTAAGTTGTATACTTGTGTGCAGGACCTGGGGAGAGGGATGGGGTTTCATGCCCAACGGCAATGCTCTCGTCTTTGTTGACAACCACGACAACCAGAGAGGCCACGGTGCCGGTGGTGCATCCATTGTCACCTTCTGGGACTCCAGGCTCTACAAGATGGCTGTCGGCTACATGCTGGCCCACCCTTACGGAGTAGCCAGAGTGATGTCTAGCTTCCGCTGGAACCGAAACATTGTCAATGGAAAGGTAGATTCTTCATTAAGAATGATGATAAAATGCAAGTTAAAGTAAGTATTTGGAACTATTTTTGTTAAACTCATTGATCCATCATTATTTTGAAGGATCAGAATGACTGGATGGGCCCTCCCAGCCATGGTGATGGATCCACCAAGCCTGTTCCCATCAACCCTGACCAGACCTGTGGAGACGGATGGGTGTGTGAGCACAGATGGCGTCAGATCAAGTGAGTCTTCAGAAAGACAAGAGACAGGAAACTGTTGACTGTGCACACAGAGCATTCACTTCTGCTTGGTCATATGGATGTGTCAACTATGTACATCATGCTTTATGATTTTATTTTGTCATATCTCCCTTTTAGAAACATGGTTATTTTCCGCAATGTGGTCAATGGACAGCCTCACTCCAACTGGTGGGACAACCAGAGCAACCAGGTTGCCTATGGACGTGGTAATCGTGGATTCATTGTCTTCAACAATGATGACTGGTAAGGACCATGTACTCTGTACAGAGGCCCAGAGGGGCAAGTGACAAAAAACTTGGGGTGATGCATTCTCTGAGTCTGATTGAAACTGTTTTCTCTCCTGTGTTTATGACTTAAGAACAGATTAAAAAAAGGGTTGGCCAGGATAATCTTTCTGCACTCTGCAAACACAATGTATGTACCTTGTGTCTAGCGTGTATGAAGAAACATGAATGCTTTAAGTCCCAAATACAACATGGGGTAGTGGTACACTTCAGCCTCCTGTGGCCAAAATAAGAACTACACCTGTTCCCACTTGACAAAATGTAACCCAGAAAAATGATCCTGGAAAAAGTTCTTTCCCCACCTGTTCACCATAAACACAGGGGAAAAAAAACAATTCAGATCCAACTATGAAAAACGTCCAACAAATAATACAACAATATTATTTCTCTTGCCTTAATAGAAAATACAGCTAAATAAGAGGGAGATCCTCTCAGCATCAGTAACACTGCAGTTTATTGTGGCATTGTGGTGGTTTTACAAACAGCATGTACTTTGTCTTCACCTTCAGGAACCTGGATGTGACCCTGAACACTGGCATGCCAGGTGGCACCTACTGCGACGTCATTTCTGGCCAGAAAGAAGGAAGCAGGTGCACTGGTAAGCAGATCCATGTCGGAGGTGATGGCCGCGCCCACTTCAAGATCAGCAACAGAGATGAGGACCCCTTTGTTGCTATTCATGCTGAGTCCAAGCTGTAAAAACATCATGTACAACTTCAACAATAAATCTTATGTTCAGACTTGAATGATGAACTTGATTGTAATAAGCCAAATTATTTTTGCCATTGACTTTAAGTTTACTTTTAACTTGCAGATCAAAAGAAAGGAAAGCCATACATTTCACAATGCTCAGAAAAAAAATTGCACTGTTGCATGTGTAAGCAAAACCAACCGGGATGTGACTTCTGCATAACTGTTTCTCTTTGAACTGACTGCAGTATCACATACATAGAAAACACCAAGGGCTAAGAAGTTTTGGTAATTTACTATTGAACGTATAACCTTAACATCCCTCTACAGTAACTCCCTACTGAGTAAATAAAATAAAAATTCAGCCTCCGCCATTGATGCATTCACACAGAGAAAGAACAAAGTTAAACATCACAAATCCTGATAAAATTGTACAGGCCTGTTGAGCTATCAACTGTTCTCCCCATTCATAGCAGCTGTCATGTGTGAGAGGGGCTGCATCATTTGC